GTTGAGCCTTGTTCATTATTCTGGGACACAGGAGGTGATGTCCTGCTATTTGGAGAATCAGGGTTGTCTTGTTCTCTTTCTTCTTTAAGTTGCTTCTCAAGGGCAAATTCTTTGTTTTCTGAAATAAAACGTTTTGCAAAATTCAAATAAAATTAAGCATCCTGTTGAAGTACAGACAAAACTGGCAACCGTGTATTTAATAGTGAGAGGTGAAAACTGTAGCACTAGTGATTTATTCACTTCAGCACACACCGGAGGATTGGTTAGATCCCTCAGGAGTCAAATGGTTTGAATAGGAAAATGCCTTCCTCAATATCTTAGACATGAGTTTGTACCTGTCACAAATGAAAAATGGTATACTAAGACAGAAAGTATAGGTAAGTCACAAATCTACTGCCCTGGTAGCTTTATTGATATGCTCGTTGACAGATGATTCTGTGACTATTTTTGATGCAATTACAGGAAGGCCAGTTCCTAGTAAGAGAAGACAGATGGTTTTACTGAACCTAAGCCATAATGCAAGCAAATGACAAAACTGTTCCACGTGAATAGTACATTAATGGATAATATAGTACTTTGTTGATTACAGTTCTCCATTATATCCTTAAATAATAAAGTAGATTTACCTTTTTTTTCCTCTCTAGCCTTTTGCTCTGCAAGATCTGCTAACCAATGCAGTGGTGACTGGGATTCTGGAGGAGTTAGCTTGCTGTCTGTGCTTACATCACTCCCTGGGCTGCTGTTGCCATTACTCTCAGACTTCTGAGGGGTATTTTGCTGCTGAGACTCAGGCATGCACAGAGAAATTTTGTTACTGTGATTAAGAACATTCTGTAAAACCTATAAAGGTAGAATAGTTGAATTTTTAAAATACTCTCTCTTCAATTATTCAGTTAAAAGTAGAGGTTACATTTATTTACACAGTAACATAGGAAACAGAATTTATAAAACACAAGTCCTACACTGGATTTCAAATATCAAACTGATTAATTTAACCATGGATTTTTTATTTGAACAGAGATTTCTACTCACTTGAGACACACCATTCATAGCAGAAAAATTTCCAACTTGTATATTCTCTGTGTTAGTACAATGACAATGGGATTTAATACCATATTTTTCTCTAAGTGTGTGCATCGCATCTAGAAGATCTGTCAAAACTACAAAATATAATAATGGTTAATAAAAAGATTATTACTAGTTGTTAAGATTACTTAAAATTTCTTATTTTTCTTAGAGATTTTCTTATGCCTTTTCACTTTTCTTCCATTATTTTCTTCATCCCTTTCATCTGTTTCAGGTTTGATCACTGAACCAAATTCATGTTGTTCTCTATTCTTTTTTTATCTATAATTAAAAATCAGTATGCTTAAAAGAAAAAAAGTATAATTTAATAAATCTTATATGCCTTTTCATTACACTATAGTTTTCCCCTTCTGAACTGGTTCCTCTATGGCTTTCTTCATCACTGGGCCAGGACTTATCTTGCTAGCTTTATTACACAGAGGATTACAAGAACAATTCAAGATTACATAAACCTTACCTCTCCATTCTATTATATTCCTAAATAATCTGGAACAATAAAGAACTATTATACTACTACTGAGTCAATAATGTATATTTATGCTTACCAGAACCGGGTATAATTTGAGTTGGCATTAAATGTTTGTGATCATGAGGCTGTCCCTTCACACACTTCATCCAAGCATATAGTTCTTTATCTGTAAGATTGTAACATATGTACTTATTAGTCATGTTTACAATGATAAAATTGATGGCTTGTATATAAAGAGTTTAACAATTATATAAAATGTCAGTGGTAGGTTTCAGGTGTTTTCTTCTTAAAGAAATATAAGATAGTTCCACCATTCTGAGAATTCTATAAAATAGGATACAAAACTGTTAGGTTCGTCTTTTCTTAAATGACCATTCTTTATTCTCATGAATGTATTAGTCACCGCAGTCTTCCCTGGAGCTAATTTTTTTTAATCTTAGCTATTTGTGCCAAATAGAGCTTTTGCCTAATCTTAGTACATTAGACTCATATAAAAGTTTGAGGCTTTTGGCAACTCATTTTTCTTGTATGCTTCAAAGATGTGTAGAGGAACTGTCATGAGACATGTGAAAAAGCCTCAACTTGATAGAAAGTTTAACTGTTATTACTACAACAAGGCTCCATACCTGGAGGAGTAAACATATTAAGGCATAGCATGAAGTACAT